AATAATTCCGCAGATTTTTACTAAAATTCTCCGCAGAAATAGCAAAAAACGTCCGCAGATTTCGTCTGGCCCTGCCTATGAGCTACACGTATTTGTTAACTCGCAGGACAGTAACACATGCAAACACACATGCTCACAGATGTATTTTGCCAAAGAAGCAAAATGAAAGAAGGATATTCTGGCCAGTTTGACACAGGAGTTGACAAACCAGCGCTGATGATGATCGCCTGTGCTGCCTGGAGCCGCGTCATAAACTCAACTAGTCCTATTGATGATTTAGTGCAGACTACAACCAACAAACCAACCTTTTTCCATTTAGAAAATTACAGTTATTAATAGTTCTTAAATACATTTTTAAATAGCCTACATAGCCTAATCTACGAATCAAACAAAGCCAAATATTTTATGATAACCTCGCACCAAACTTCTACAAAATCTTTAAACTAATGACTTCTATTAAAAGTGTTGACAGCTTTTGTAATATCATAAAAGCGGAGCATTAATTGAATGCATATTTTTCCATAAAGCAATCTATTTGAGTTAGCCTAATATTTTTATTTGATGGAGAAAAAAAAAAAAAACACGATTGGACAAACAGCCTATGCCGGTTCTTAAAAAGGATTCAGTCAGTGTTTTCGTTTTGTAATTTTAATTTGGCATTGAAGTGAAAAAGATCTAGAGCAGGATTTATTTTATTCTTTTTGTTACTTTTATTCTGTTTTTCTATGCTGCTGAAAAAAACACTGCAGGTGCGTGAAGATGCTCTGTTATGTTCTGTACGCTGTTCGCATGTTAAAGTAGCCTAATCAGTATTTTAAAATGCAATATTTAATGTGTCACACAAAATAGGCATGTCATTTTTTTTCATTAAATATTTTTTTGATATTAATCTGTTAGCGGTTAATATTTGGTTAACGAGCGGTTTTCAGTTGGCAAAATTAATTGAAATCAGCATTCCTAGTTTGGCATAAATTGTATCTTAACTATTTGATGTATTATTTGATGGTCAGTTATTTACAAAAGAAACATAAAGTGCTTCAACACAAGGTGCTGCATCGCCAAAACCAAGTTTATGCGCCAAGATTATGGCAATATGTAAATTGTTATGTTCTCTTTGTTAAAGATTTATTTCTGAAATGTTGCTAAAGTGGTTTATATTTAACTGAAATGTTCAGTTCTTGATATAACATATGAATATTATGTACTGTAAGTCAGTAATTGTATTCCAGCATCATAATGGAACAAATAGGCGCTAGTCATTGGCTTATATTAATAGGGAGTTCAAAAATGATCGTAACGCAAAATTGTGGTTGTTTATTGCAAAGACCTGAGATAAGTTGGCAATCATAATTAGCATGGACACATTTTGGCTTTGTATACAAAGTTTCATTTTATTTGTGATAATATTTATTCCACAATATAAAGTTTTTCATTAAATCGTTACGGACGTGACACGTGATCGAAGCTGCGTAATGTTTTAAATATGTAGCTCATAAATTAAAAGGGCAGTAATGTTATAAAAAAGTAAGAGTAATTATTTATACTACAGACCCCAATCCTCCTGCAGAATGATTACTGTTAACATAAATCATGGAAAATGTGAGTCTTTAACCCCTTAATCGAGCACGAAATGAGAAAATTTAAATGTAAAAAACAAATTTAAATTGGTTTTGTTATTTTGGTCAAAAGTTTATTTTTTCATAAGGTTTACATTTTCATGGAATTGCTCATATATATATATATATATATATATATATATATATATATATATATATATATATATATATATATATTAGGGAAGCTCATTTCGGTTAAATTTCGGTTATTAACCGTTAACTGGACAGATTACTATTAATTTTACTATTTTGTGTCTGACACATTAAATATTGCATAAAATACTGATTTATTTTTATATGCTAGCATATTAATAATAGAACAATACAACAGAGCATTTTCACGCACCTGCAGTGTTTAGCACAGAAGAACAGAATAAACTAAATAAAATGAATAAAATAAATAGGACTGCCCTAAATTATTTTCCACTTAAATAATTAATTTATATTACAAATCGAAAACACTGACAGATTATTTTTAATAACCGCCATAGGCTGTTTTTTTCAATCATATTTTTCTCTTCCGTCAAATAAAATAGCAGACTTCTTCAAATTGCTCGCTCCACGGAAAATATGCATTTATTTAATGCCTCGCTTGTATTATTATAATCACTAAACCTTTTTACATTTTTAATAGAAATCATTATTTTAAAGATTGTCTTGACGTGGTTTCCTTTCTCTCCATCGCAGCTCAAGTGCGCGCGCTGCGTGATAAAAAGAACAACAACACGCGCGCATATGTTGACTTTTTGTAAACAGTTTTGTTGTTTAAATATGATATTGCAATAATGTGCATACATGCTTTATAAGCTGTAAAATAAAAGGTAAAGCCTATTTGTTGCGTTTATGATGCAGATCCAGGTCAACATCAGCACTTTTTTTGCCATCAACAAGTCTGTTTCAAACAGCAAAATTCTTCTTCCATTTTGCTTCTTTGGCAAATGTGTCTGTAGGCATGGGTTATATGTTATCGTCCCGCAAGTTAAGTATGTCTTGCAGTTGAACAAGTGGCCGACCACAGCTAACGTGCTTTTTTCATTCCAAAAATGCGAGGCGCACCTCACTGCCTTTATGTTGACAAGGAAAAAAGAAGAGAAGAAGCGCGGTCCTCTTATGAAACGACTGAATCAGCTGGGTATCGATTGTGCAAAAGTGTTGCTGTCTGTGTTGATAAAATTGTAATATTTAATAATAATATGATATTCAAGATTTGTACATTCATACAGCTCTGGATAACTTAAAACAGCGATTAGACCTTCAGAGCGGCAATAATGCGTACTAAAGTAAAGCGAAACGGCTATAAACTCCAGCATTATAGAGTGATTATATGCAGAGTCATACTTTATCTATAAATAAAGTATAACTATAGAAACTGTGTTCATCTTAACTGAAAGCTTCTGCGTGTTTGCTGGGCTCACGCATCGAGCACCTGTCAGTCAGTCAGTCAGCACGTAACCCCAAAGGATTAAACAATAGCGCACAGCACTATACGGTTACAGAAAAGTTTGCGCTGTTATAATCCACTTACCTTTTAATACGTTTTGATGCGATTATAATTCGCTATTAAAAACAACAACAACAATAACTGAATGTTTTGGGTATGTAGCCGTGGCGGGATGCATTTTGTTCCCCGCTATGGAAGAATGAATGTAGCGGAAACCAAGCTCTTTAAAAGTTCTCTGTAGTTGTCTTGACAACACAAACTGCTGCTCTGGGATGAGCCGTGTGCAAAAGATGCCCCTCTTTACGCAAAGGCGCATTCAATCGGCCTCTTATGCAGCCAAACTAAAAATATATAAAATAATAATTTTATTCGTTTAACTGATAGCATTAATCGGTCACAAACGCACCCTTTCGGTTAACGGTTAATCGATTATTTTGAGCATCCCTAATATATATATTTATTTCGCCAGTCATGAGGCTGGAAGAACTCACTAAGGTTTTAAATACCTGCAGCAAAGTATTAGGGATGATGTGCCAGGGTTGGGCTGAACGGTAGTGCAGTGGGTAGAACGTTCACCTCGCAGCAAGAAAGTCGTTAGTTCGAGCCTCGGCTCGGTCAGATGGCATTTCTGTGTGTTTCTATGTTTGCATGTTCTCCGTTTCCTCCGGGTACCTCCGGTTTCCCCCAAAAGTCCAAAAACATGTGCTATAGGTGAATTGGGTAGGCTAAATTGTCCGTAGTGTATGTGTGTGAATGGGTGTATGGATGTTTCCCAGTAATGGGTTGCTGCTGGAAGGGCATCCACTGCGTAAAACATATGCTGGATAAGTTGGCGGTTCATTCTGCTGTGGCGACTCCAGATTAATAAAGGGACTAAGTCAGTGTTATCCAACTTGTATGAGATTCGGGTGTTAAAGCGAATCAGATTACTTCTGGCATATCCCATTCTCTTTTTGAATAATTTCAAACCCTTTCCTCGTGATCTCTAGGACCAACAGATTCAAATTTTTATTTGTTTCTTGTACAATGGAGTGGCTGAATTTTAATTGAAAAATATAGCAGCATTTTTTAGTACTTTTAATGGTGTGTTATGTTTGTGTAAATATTTTAGGCTGCAGAACACATTTCCCCAAAGGGGGACAATATAGGTTACAGTAACAGTAAACAGATAATGTACAGGATAGCTAGCTGGGGTGAATTCATAACTTAATGCCAGTTTATTTAACTATTTATTTTTTTAAAATGTCAGAAAATGTGTCAAAGTTTTTGATCATTCCTGTACAGTAAACCTCTTCTATGATTAGCTTGTTGCTTTAAAAAAATAAAATAAAAAATTTAAAGACATTTTAGGACATGGAAAACGCAAACAAAATGTGTGCACTCCAGCAATTCAAAAGTTATTTGGATAAATATTTCATTATTTTTTATGAAAAAATATTTTAAAACAATTAATAATAATATTAATTAATATTCGGAAATTAATTCAACAAATCAGATTAATGTGGTGTAAGATGCAAGGGGGGAGAAAACAATCATAAGGGACCCATTTAGACAATTATGCACAGTCTTTTAAGCAAGATTAGTTTGTTATTTATTTATTAGTAATAATAATCTCCACTAAATCTGTAAGAAAAATATGTTAAACTTCTTGTTATACCTTCATTTGAAAGATTTACTTTACAGTCTTTTAAATAACTTTAACTGAAAATGATCCTTAAGGTTAAGTAAACATGAATGTACGGTAATTTTCTCAGAACAGGTGTTTTAAATGTTCTATTTTTCTTTATTATTAACTGTTGCTTGCCATTGAGCTCTCTTATAATATCTCAATCTAACCTCATTATACCATTACACAGACAATTATTTCTTGTTAGGTCGTCTTGACCTTTGTTTGATGTGTGGATGACACTTAATTAAATGAAGCTGTTTCTGTGTTCTTGCAGGAAGGTGACATTAGTAATGGTGGGATTGGACAATGCTGGAAAAACGGCGACAGTCAGAGGAATCCAGGGAGGTAAATATGCACCTTGGTTCTCCATTCATTTCTAAATAAATAATATTTTATGCTATGTTTTAAATATCTAGGATTTTTCTTACATTATGTTTTTTTTTCATAGAAAGCCCTTTAGATGTAGCACCTACAGTGGGCTTTTCAAAGGTGGACCTGAAGCAGGGAAAGTTTGAGGTCACAATCTTTGACCTGGGTGGCGGGAAGCGTATTCGTGGCATTTGGAAAAACTACTACTCTGAATCTTATGGAGTGGTGTTTGTTGTGGACTCCAGTGATGTCCAGAGAATCCAGGAGACCAGAGACACCATGGCTGAGGTTCTCCGGCATCCTCGTATTGCAGGCAAACCTGTCTTAGTGTGAGTTTTTACATTGCATATTCTTGCCATTGAATGTAACTTACTGGCCACTACAAGTATTGATTATCAAGCATACAAGGCTCTCATTTTTGGTAACTAGGAATAATTATGATAACTATGTATAAACCTAAACTTTCTAAATGACATTTTACATATAACCCTTAATTGCTAATCAATTAGTTTAGCAATAATCCAATTCTGACTCGGTAACCTTTTATTAAAAATAAAAATCTGGGCAAGGTTAATTTAGTAATCAGGCACAGCAGCTTTGTTTAAGTGTGGCTAACTGTAACTTGTAAAAATTTTCATCTTCCTTAATTGCATTTTACACCAGTAAGAGCAGAGATTGATTTAATTTAGATAGTAATAGCACAATTTTGCGTAAAATATTGCAATGCACACAACTTTATGGGTGACATATCAGTGTTCAAAAGAACACAAATTGTTTTTGCTCATCTGTGACCAAGACAGCAAGTCTTTGTGATGTTTGCCACAGTATCCAGTGTAATGCCATCATAACACTAAGAACGATTAACCATATCCAGCAGGAGTAACTGTGGACGCAAGAGGATTGTGTGTAATAGGAATGTCCTGGTGCTAAACCGGATTGTATCCAAAAAGCATGAAACCACATCTCCCCAATTCACTACAGAGTTAAATGTGCACCTCAGCTGTTCTGCTTTTACCAAAACTGTTTGTCTGGAGCTCCACAGGGTCAATACATGGCAGGACTGCTATAGCCAAACCTTTGGTCATTAGAGCCAATGCCATACATTAGTTTCAGTGAAATTCTTGGGCTGTGGACAGTGTGAAACATGGATTGTTTTCTGATGAGTCCACCTTCATTGTCTTTCCCACATCCAGAGTTATGGTGTGGAGAAGCCCCAAAAACGCATACCATCCAGACTGTTGCATGACCAGAGTGAAGCATGGGCGTTGATCAATGATGGTTTGGGCTGCAATATCATTGCATTTCCTAGGCCTAATACTTGTGCTAGATAGGCGCGTTACTGCCAAGGACTACTGAGCCATTCTGGAGGACCATGTGCACCCAATGGTTCATTGTATTCTGATGGCAGTGCTGTGCATCAGGATTATGATGCACCAATTCTCACATCAGGACTGGTGACAGAGTAATTTGATAAACATAAAAGTAAAGTTGAACATCTCCCATGGCCCGCACAGTCACCAGACGAAGTATTATTGAGCCACATTGGGGTGTTTTGAAGAAGCGATTCAGGAAACGTTTTCCTCAACCAGCATCACTTAGTGACCTGCTCACTATTCTGCAATAGGAATGGCTCAAAATCCCTCTGGACACTGTGCAGTGACCCTGTCACTCCTAAGACAAATTCATGACTGCACCATACTAATAAATTATTGTGGTCTAAAACCAGTCGGTTTCAGTTTCATTGTCCAACCCCTGTAATAAAGACAAGTGCTGATTTTTGTAAAATCCCACTTCACCCAAGACATTTGTACAAATTGATAAGATATTCAGATTTGCATGTAGAAGGATTAAAAGTAAAACATCCCACCTTCCCATACTAAGTTAAACATTTTGATATACTGGGGACGTAAAATAAAAATGTTCTTGTTCAGGAAGTTGCAGGCTTTAATACAGTTTGCTGGCTTTAGCTCAATTCTGCCTTATGAAATGTCTTGCTAAACAAACTGTCAGTGTGTGTGGTTCAAATAATTTTTTTGATCAACAGCTTGTTTTGATGGTTTTTGTTACGTATAACAAAAGACTCAGGTCAGAGCCTTTACCATCTTATTGCTCTTAGACATGAGAGCTATCAAAACTACTCAAATCAAAACAAAAATCACAATGGAATTAGAACTGCTTATAGGCCAGGACACGCCAAGCTGACAATTGGATATTGGGCAGTTTCAGACTGTCAGTGAGCATTTGTCAGGCTAGATTGTTTGGTGTGTACCGCACATTGCCTCTTGTTGGGCTTAGGTTAGTGGGAGTTTCCCTGATTTAGCATGTTGAATTATCATTGGCCATCGGTGAAAGAGTACTTACTGGGTGTTCAGCTACAAATCAGAGTGCGAGAACAAAAAATGAAGTGAAACCTAGCAAGTCAAGAGGGAAGACCTATAAGCCAGCTGTCATTGTCACATTGCTAAAATAATTTTAAACAATATCGACTTTCAGATTATCAGACATGTTTAACTACTATGAATAAGGTAAATATCTTTAAGTAAAAAGATAACATCTTTGTTTATGCTTTGTATGTGTGCAGCACTAGTTTCAGTTTCACATTGTGGAATGACAATACAGACTACTCCATGGTATGCTAAAGATAAATCCTCTCACGCATATGCAGAAAAGACATTCTAGATTCAGTTAGCTGTCATACATTTAGTGTGTTCACATGCTGCGTACTGGTCCAGTCGGGACCAGGTGCGGCTGATGCAAGTTGACAACAGAGTCAGTTTTTGTCACCGCTAGATCTCGCTTAAGAGGTTGGTGTGAAAAGTGAGGATAACAAAGGGCTCAAGATAAAACTCAAAGGTAGACACAATTTAAAACAGCTGTTGATGATGTTTGGAGCCTTCCCTCATCAGCCTTGCCTGCCTGTCAGGAAAAAAAAAATGTTGTTTAGAGATAAGACCTTGAGTTTACTGATGAGCCTAGAGGGTTTGATGAATGCCGAGCTGTAATCAGTGAAGAGCATCCTCATATCAACAGGCCCTGCCTGCAATCCAAGTGGAATGGGGCGGTGTGCAGTAAATGTGCAATACATCATCTGTATATCTGTTGGGTTGTTAGACAAGCTACAGTGGGTCCAATTAACTGAGGTAGTGAGGAGCAGATGAAGTCCTTGACTAAATAAAGCTTAAGTGTGCTAATAAGTCAAGAGCGCTCTGTGACACAAGGCTAATTATTCTGTCCACCTCAAGTTTAGATCTCAGGTCATTTGTTTGTGACAGCTTACCAAATGACCTTCACATGCTTTTTTTTCTTCTGATTGGCTTACAGACTGGCTAATAAACAGGACCAAGATGGGGCAATGGCTGAAGCAGATATCATTGAGACCCTGTCATTGGAGAAGCTAGTCAACGAAAATAAATGCCTTTGCCAGATTGTAAGTTAATATTTCATCACAATTTATTATAACCGGAGTCTGGTTTGATAATTAAATCTTGATTCTTAGTAAGGTGAAAAATTAATTAGAAAAAATTGATCTATGTTCACACACTTTTTTTTTAATCACTAAATTAATTGACGGAAATGTATTTAAATGTTGTTTCATTTACTTTCAGGAGCCCTGTTCAGCTGTCTTGGGTTATGGTAAGAAGGTTGACAAATCCATCAAAAATGGCCTTAACTGGCTCCTAAATAACATTGCCAAGGACTATGAGGCAATTTCAGAACGTGTGCAAAAAGATACAGCCGAACAGAAGGCTCAGGAAGAACAAGACAAGAAAGAAAGAGCAGAGAGAGTTCGGCGGATCAGAGAAGAGAGGTCAGTGAGCTTACAAAACTTCAGATTGTTGCTGCTTAACGCCTGGTTTATACTCTACGCGCCAGCTAGTTCGCTTGAGTGCGTGCAGCGAATGTGACGTCATCACAGAGTTTGAGGAGGTTCACTTTGGGTGCGTGCGATATGATTTCGGCCAGCGAATCGCATGATTTTTTTGAGACTCGAGCACAGTTTGAGCGGCACCGCAACTGATTTGAATTGAGTATGAAACACTTTAAAGAGATTTTGTCTGAAACAGTATGCCTGTACAGACATCTTTATGATCCGTGATCATAGAGATAACCAGATGACCAATAATTATTGGCTAGAAATTGCAACAGTCGCGGTAAAGGAGAAAGTTTTTGTTTAAAGGTTTTGTAAAAACCCGAGGGATAAGTTTGGTAAAGCAAAAAAAAGGCCTTAGCTAAAGTGGAGACGCAGGTACACAATTACAGAATATGTTTTTCCACCCTTCATAGGTTTAACACTGGTGTATATGTTTAATTTTGAATTTAAAACAATTTATTAGTTACAAATATAAAATTAAGGAGCAAATTATTTCTTTGATAACTGGAAAGGAATATTTAAACCTATTTGTTAACAATATACTGACACCTGTTTTTCTAGGCTTTTTTGTTGATAATGGTCAGGAATGTTGGACCGTTATTGCCTTTTTAGCATAAGTATAGAACAGAAACTAGCTGGACAGTAGTGTGTATATTGTGAAGCGGGCTAATTCTAAAACATCTGTATTTTTTAGTAAGTTTTACTTTTTTGCTTTTATTCTTGTAATAATAAAAATATATTTGTAGAGCAACCCATGTTCTGTAGTCAATAATATTTTAATAAACTTTAATTGGTATAACTGTCCGAGATAAAAGCAAGTTATGCATCAAGTTTGATTTAAAAAAAAAATCTTGAATGATTATAAAAATCCTTATAATCATTAAAATAATTAATAAAAACAAGCAAAAAAAAATAGTTTAAAAGTATTGAATAATAATAATGATATGTCGTAGTTCCGGAAACGTCCTACTTCTCTGTTTATCCGCGAAGACAGCAAGTATTAAAGCCTCGTCCGTTTCGCGAGTTGCGCTTGTAGTCAGCAGAGGTGTGCGATGCGACGCCAGGCGAAAGTTTAAGGGCCTACTCACACTATGCCATCCGAACCGTGCCCAGGCCTGTTTCCCCGATCATTTGAGAAGTGTGAGAGCGGTTTACTTGGGCTTTGGTGCGGCATGCTTGTGTGTGAGTGCAAAACGTGCCAAAGCCCGAAACTGAAAGCGAGACGTGACTTTTTTTTTTATTGATTAATTAATCATTTTTACTTTTCAGTAAACGCAAACTGTCACAGTTTATTGAAGACGCAAACCCCTTACTGCACAACAGCTGCGCCTTCAGCAAACCTCCTAATTGCTGCAGCACGAGAATTTTATGATTTTTTAAGAGCGTCAAAAGTGGCTGATCTGTTAAAATATTTGACTGCGTGTCACTGCATATCAAACAACTTAAACGATATAACTAGAGAAATCTCCACTGTGCTGAGCGAAAGTGCTTACTGAGCAGCGCAGCATCGATGACGTAAGCGTACCCAGGCCTGAATGTAATGTGAGTGGGGGCTGTCGGAGGAGACGGGAGAGGGGACAAGCGTGCTTTGGCCCGGTTCAAGGCAACTGTACATAGTGTGATTACGCCCTAAATCCAGCTTAAGCCGCCTTTCCACTGTACACGACAAGCAACAGACCGGAAGTTAATAATTCCCAATGGAGAGTAGTCCGGGAGCTACGTGGAGTTCCGTTCATCTCTGTATTTAAAAAATTCAGATCCGATTTGAGCTGTGACTAGATTGTATGCGACCGGATGTGATGCATTCCAATGTTCTCCAAGCAGGTTTGTGTGTGTGAGATGAGAAATAGTAGTTTTTTGTTATTTTTTGAATGAGAAAAAAATTCTATTTATAAATGAGTAATAAAACAACATACTTTAGCGTCTGAGTTTCTAGTATTTATACATTTATTCATTCATTTGTTCAACCATGGTGAATGCACAGAGAATAAAGGCTATTTTTGCACTCCTTTATTTTGGACACCTCAATAATCAACTTCTCTCCCATGGTGCACATCAAAACTGAAAAATCTGTGCAACTGCTACAAGGGGGTGTATTCCGACAGTCGTATCCGAATGTCGTGTGCAGTGGAAAGGTTGCTTTACTATTTTGTAGATATGTCTTTTAGCTTTTTATAGATATTTTGTAGATAAGTTTAATGTTATTGAGTGGATTATAAAGATTGAATGTGGTTTACCATAATGTCATTGAGTTCTAAATAGTTCTAAATGTAATTTTAAAAGTCTCATATTGATGCCTCATTCACACTAGCAGCGATATTGTAGCTGCCTGTCACTTAGAGTGGCGACCTCCTGCAAACAGGTCTGTGTAAGTCTATACAGCATGAATACAACTGGCATCTGAGCAAGCTGAGAAAGGATCACGTGAGCTCTTCTGGTGCTCCTATTGGCTGTCGCTCAAGAACATCGCTCTTCATATGTTTAAAGTTGAAGTTAAAGTTCTAAACTTTGCTGCATTACTCGACACGCCCACTTAATCATCAATGATCACTGTTGCTCGTGTAGTTAGAGGTCGCCAAAAGTCACTCGCTCTCTATTGAAATGAACAGTCATTTGCTGCTTTGCCATTGCGAGTTGCTCATAGTGTGAATGAGGCATAACTGAGGTTGTTTTCTTTACTTTTATTTTGAAATATGTACTCCCAGTTTTGTTTAGTTTTTTCTTTGTTTTACTGCAAACTACTTAAAATTAATGTTTACTCTAATGTATAAATGTAAGTTATAATTTTTTTTTAATTGATTTGTTATTTTTGAATCATATTGTTTAATATTTCATAAAAGTTAAACATCCAACTTTGAGGGATATATTAACACCACCATGTTACATTCCGTACCAATCAGGCCCATTATAACTCTTAACAACAGAAAATACAATGAAAGTTGGAGGGATAATAGAACAGAACCCTGGAGAACACCCATTTAAAATGTCTAATCGTAATGTTTCATTAAACTCAGTATGATAAAGAAAATATCTATCTCCTTTTGTTTCGTGATGACTTAAAAGTGATTTTGATTAAGATATTTTGCACTGACAGAGACCGACAGGAACGGGAGGAAGCAGAGCGAGAAGGAAGGACATTAAAAGAGGAAGAGCTAGATGATGTCAACATGTTCAACCCCTTTCAACCAATAAACAATGTTTTGACTGAGGTTAGCCACCACAATGTTTCTTTTATACATACACTACCTTTCAAATGTTTGGGGTCAGTATGATTTTTAAATGTTCAAGTACAAAATTGTAAAATTGTGAAATGTTATTGCACTATAAAATAACTGTTCAAAAGTAGTTTATCATTTAATTTAATAATTTATTCCAGTGACTTTAATGATGAATGTTCCGCTTCATAACTCCAGTTTTCAGAGTCGCATGATCCTTTAGAAATCACTCTAATATTATTAATAATAATAATAATAATAATAATAATAATAATAATAATTATTATTATTATTAACGTAATAGTAATCAAAGCAATAGTGACTAGAGTTATCATTTCATTTGAAACTTCATACAATAAAGAAGCAGTTATTTAAAATTAATAAATATTTAACTTTTTTTTATTTAATAAATGTTGCCTTGATGAGCAGTATAATTTTCTTTAAAAAAAAAAAAAACTGACCCTAAACTTTTGGGCGAACTCATTAGAATGCAAATACTCACTTTATATAAAAATTCCAGAACCAAGACAGACTAAACAGAGAAAAAGAGATGCAAAGACAGAGGGAAAATGGCCAGCAGGGCAGTGTGCAAGAACAGATAGCACTTCAAGATGAGGAGGAAGAAGAGGAAGATGAAGAGAGTGAGAGACAGACTCCAGAAAGCACAGAATCAGGTAGGACCTCTAAAATCTCAAAAGGCCTCCATCATATTGAAAGAAATATATATGTATAAAAAAATCTTAGAATTGTTCGTTAAATTTAAGCTTTTTCTATTATATTATATAAAGAACCTATTTGCTGCTGTAGTTTCTGCATGAAAGGAAGTGAGTGTTTTTCATCTTCGATCAGGAGCAGTGGACCAGACCAAAAAGAAAACTAGGAAACTACGGTTGAAACGCAAACACAGAGTCGACCCTCTTAGGATGGAAGAAGCAGCACCCAAAAGCCCCACGCCTCCTCCTCTGCCAGGTATGAATGGCTCTTTTACAAGGTGTCAATGGGGTCTTACAAGTATTAAAAAGTCTTAAATGCTATTTTGCAAGGTATTACGTTTTTTATCATTTTAAATTATGCAATGGATGGTTTTATGCTTAAGTTTTCCTGAATTAAATCTGTGAAAATCAGAATGCTGTGTAGTTTATAAAATCCATACAATCCTGCTAGTTGACATCACGCTGTTTTGTTTACTGCAGTAACCAAGGCAACACCATTATTTCTGCAGTTCTATAGGCACCAACCTGCTGAATTAGCTAGATTTAATAATTTTTTTATTCAGTATATAAACAATGTTTTAGTTTTGGATTAGTTCCTTACATTTATATTTAGTAAATATACTGTAAGTTAAAATCTCGCCAGTGTTTCTGGTTGAAACCTAAAGTGATTTTATTGTTTGGAAATAGTCTTAAAAAGGTCTTAAAAGGTACTGAATTTCACTCTCTGATTCTTGTGTATACTCTGTTTTACAGCTGGTTTCTCAGACACAGTGAAAAAACTTATGGAATTGAAAAACTATGAATGAAATCAGCGAATTTAAGTAGCAAAAATGTTGCTTACATTTTGTCAGTGATGTAACTTTTCAGTACAAAAAAAAAACTATTACCAAAGAAACCCTTCCAAAAAAACTGAAATAAAAAATGGCTTAAGCCAAAGGGTGACCTGCAGTTGAAAAAAAATGTGTACAAATCAAGCGGATGAGCAATTTAAAATACACCCTTGAAAGAATGCTGGTAGTTTTTTGTAACAAGGTTGTGATCATAGACTGTACAAAAATATGGACGTCGTATCCGTGACGTCACCCATAGGTTTCTGAAGAGCGCAAATGAAGCCAAAAGTAGGTGTGACCAACCGTCACCATTTTGTTTGCATGTCATTGCACCAACCGGGAGTAACCAAAAAAGGTCAAAGAGGTGGAGCATGAGCGAAGCTACAGATGCCTGCTAGCATTTTGCATAGACAGACTTTTCTTTGGGAGAAAAAATGTAAAGTTATTTTAATGATTACAGAAACATCCTACCAGGATGAGTTTTTTGTTTTTTTAATTCTTGCATTCAAAGAATATGAATGCAGTACGATAGAAAACACTCAACAGCACAAGCACTTTATTAAAGCCTTGTGTATCACAACCAAGCGGCAACATCCCGCTCATAAAGCTAATACAGCGGTTACTGAAACTGCGATTCAAAAGTACAATTTATAACACATTATAATAAAAAAAATCTGAATTGTGTTTTGAACTGAACCTAAACTGATTCGATAAATGTAAATATGTAAAGTCGATAAATGTAAATATTTAAAAATGTTATATTTTTATACAGTAAACAACTGATTTTATTTTAAAAACTTCATAAAAGTTTGATTTGATCTTATGAACTGAATAGCTTACGCTGGACTGAAAACCACCTCAAAACGTTTTTGAATAAAATGTGTTACAGGAATGTACAAATGTGCAAATACGTAATGTCTGGAAAAAGTGTTTTGAGAGGTGTTTTGACAGTTCCGAGCCACCGTACAAGCTTAAAGCCAAACACAGATATGTTTTACTTTAAAGAGTGTGGCATAAATTCATCCTTGTAGATGCTGCTTGTCAATCAGACAATGCTTCTATGTACGTTCTTGCTGTCAATTGCAGGAAAAATTATTGATAAAAAAGTTTATGATAAACCGCTGGAGTTTTAAACTTTGTAAACAAGCTCCATTATAGTACACAGGACAAGTATGAACCAGTTCAACTCATGCTTGTGTGAGGCAGACAGTTTTGTACAATTAAGTAATTCATCTGCCTCATTTTAACAACGGACCGATAATGATAACATTAAAAATAGCATTTATCAGCCGATAATGATATGGCTGCTTATCTATCATGCATCCCTACTTATTTGTATGGTTGTCGCGATACTATTAATTCATCTTACGATACTATAGCAGCTGAAGTATCACAATACCAAATAGTATTGCGATACTGCAATTTATAACTAGTTTATAAAGAAAGTTGTCAGAAATACTATATTTTACATGTTATAATAGGTAATTCATAATTCCCTTATTACTGAAAAAATTTATTATTTGCACGTCACCTCACCTAAAATGTATCCATTATTTTTGTTTATTTTATAGATTACTGACCTACAAAAAATACATTAAAATGAAGATACAAATGATAACAAATTAAATTTGTTACAAAAAATATAAGTTTTTCCCAACAAAATTAGGCTATATGAAGTGCTAAAAAAAAAAGTTTTTCATCATTTTTTTTTTTTCAGTCTTGTCAGGTAACAATCCAAAGTAATTCAAAATTACACTTTGTGAGTCGTTCTTTTTTTAAGAGATTGTTGTGTTTATTGTAGATACTAAATCATATTGAGATTAACAGAATTTGAGTGATTCAAATGCTCATTTAAAACATCAGAAAACTTGCAACTTTAAAGGACTCCACAGACTATTAAAATTAAATGGTCTATTGTTGCACAAATCTGCGAGCATTTTAGTGACTTTTCCACATCCAACATTATCAAATTTAGATAGACCGTAAATGATGATACTACCGTTTATAAACTACAGTGGTACCGCCAGTATTTTGGAGCCATAGTATGATGATACTACCATAGTACCTGTAAACCATGCAATCCTACTTATTTGTACTATGTATAAAAATTGTTAAATTATTAAAATTCATAACTAAACATTACAAACATTACAAACCAACATTACAGACTTTTAAAAATATAAGTACTGGAAAACTCATAAAAGTGCCATGTTTTTAAACATTTGAAAAGTGTTAAATTGTCGAAATACAATATATGTGAAACTACTTGAACTGACTTTTTTCAAAGTCAAAACACAAATGGAGTAAACATCAGCAAACATCAGTCATTTAAAAATGTTTGTACATCTGGGTTTTGTCTTGAGCCCTTTTCTAGTCTCACTTTTCATTCAAAGCTGTGGTGACACATCACAGGCTGTTTTCTAGTCTTACAAAAACAGATTTCATTTAAAAATATTATCATTTGCTAAACATTAATTTTCATAGTCAGATGTTCTGTGAAAAATAACCACCGATTCGTCTTAGTTGTCCCTTTTTTATCTTGCTTCATATTAATGATTCTAACAGCTCATCATTTGGCCTTTTTCTTTGTTTTAGTTGGATGGGCAACTCCTAAAGTTTCTAGGCTCCCCAAACTTGAGCCTCTTGGAGATACAAGGCATTCTGGTAATTTGTTGGTTAATTGCATCTGATTCATGTCCGTCACATCGACCAGCATGCGCATAACTAACATTTTTTTTTTTTTTCATTCTGCTTCCTAACCATGTAACCCTCTCCCACAGTTCTGTCTTTTAAAGCTTTTTTTTCTCTCCATCCAAACAGCAAGCCTCAGCCACATCCTTCCTGTACAGTCATCAACCATCAGCCTACAGAATTACCACAACCATCCACCTTGACATTGTAGCTAATAAGTGCTACTAGCATATTATCCTTAACACTTCATATTCTTTGCTGTGACTAATGTGTGTTATCTGTTTTTTTTTTTTTTTCCTGATGCTTGCAGGAAATATTCTGGGACATTTGTTCACCTCATTTCATATTCTATGTCCTCTTCTCAACGTAAAATCAGGCACTCTGTCAATTTTATTTAGGAATTTAAATAGTGAAATATATATTTTTTGTGTTCTTAGTGAAATGGAATATTTCACTCAAAAACTAAAATTCTTATCACTAATTTTTTTATATTTGTGCATGAGAGAGAGAGAGAGAGAGAGAGAGAGAGAGAATGGTATCTATTGACTTGCATAGTATTCAGAAGTGACAGTCACAGTAGCTAGTTTTTATTTTTATAAATTTCCTTAAAGAAAAAAAATCCAAATGTGAATTTAGTGTCCATTGAGTGTGTTTACTTTGAAAAACTATAGAAAAGCAGTGCATTGGACAGGAATTCTGTGTGAATGGCTCCTTTTAGGGCTAATTCACACCAAATGCTTCTAAAAATGCTTTGCTTAGGAATTCTAAAAATGCGGTGCTTAGGAATTGGTTTAAAAAATTAAAAAAGTACTGCATTTTTATGAATTCGATGTAATAACAACAATAATGGACCCATTAGAAATAGTAAAATAATATGTTATGATAAGCACATGAAGATACATCAGGATGTATCAGGATAGTCTGGACAAAACCACAATGAACACCTTATTTGCCATGATATAACTGTAAATGTCTTGCCAACTTTTTCCCACCTCTGAGCTCTTCTGATTGGTCCATTGCTTTTGGACCTGACAGTGATGAGCTTCAATGTTTGTGAAAGTTGAAGATCGGCGAAGCTCAAACTTGCATTGCTTCAAAAGATGCGAGGCCCAAGTGTAAAGGTCAAACACATCCGTCTAGCATGTGTTTACATTAAAAAACAATAGAAAAGTAGCATGTTGGAAAAGAAAAACACAGTGGGCCCTGTCATACACCCAGTGCAATAAGGCGCAAGACATGTTTGGCACAATTTGTTGCTATTTTATGACTAGCGCAACCCTAATTTTCATGTTTTGCGACACATTGATTAAATAGCAAATCCATTTGCACCACTATGTGGACTCCTGGTTGTGCCGGTCTTTAAAGCAGGTGTGTTTAGGCGCATTGTTGGCACGTCGCTATTTTGAGGAACTGAAGTAGATTGTGCCATTGACCAAGTAAAAGCAGGTTCAGCGCAGAGCACGTTCAAATGCTTAATACACACAGCAATACACAAAATATTTACAAATGAAATAATGAAAGCATTAAAATGCTACAAAAAATGTTTTATTTACTACATGAATGTAAAAAACATTACCTCCATGCATTCTTCATGTCCGGGGGGGGCTTTTTTCAGTTTACTCATGACAATTTGCATTTGTATTATTGTATTATAAGTAGTAGTATTTATTATATCACCCTCATGAGCCCTTTATTCATCTTCAGAACAAAGATGGACATATTTTAGATTAAATCCAAGAGATCTCTGATTTTTCATAGACAAAAAGGGTCATAAGATGTTCAAAATCCAGAATAGCAACCAAAAGTTGTCAAATTATTCCATGTGACTCTATCGGTTCAACCCTTAACATAGAAAGCTCCAAGAACACTTTTGTGTGCCACAAAACTGTAAAAAATGACTTTGCCAATGTTTTTCTTCAGTCAGGCGTGAATTTACTGCTGGGATTATGACACTAGTGTGTTGAGCTTATGGCAATAGGTTGTATTGGCTGTCGTGATACTGTGTGCATACTGATGTCCAGACGAGAAAGAGAAGACATTGATGAACAAAGTTGTTTTTACAGTTTTGAGTACACAAATGTGTTCTTGGAGCTTTGTTTGATTACATTCGAACTACTTAAGTTACAGGGAGTGACATGGTGGCTCAGTGGTTAGGGCTGTCGCCTCACAGCAAGAAGGTCGCTGGTTCGAGCCCTGGCTGGGTCAGTTGGCAGTTGGCAGTCTGTGTGGAGTTAGCATGTTCACTTCATGTTTGCGTGGGTTTCCTGCGGGTGCTCCAGTTTCCCCCACATTCCAAACACATGCAGTACAGGCGAATTGAATAAACTAAATTGGTCGTTGTGAATGAGTGTGTATGGCTGTTTCCCAGTACTGGGTTGCAGCTGGATGTGCATCCGCTGTGTAAAATGCATGCGGGATAAATTCATTCTGCTATGGCGACCCCTGATCAATAAAGGAACTAAGCTGAAGGAAAATGAATGAAGTTACATGGAATATTTTGACAAATTATATATATATATATATATATATATATATATATATATATATATATATATATATATATATATAATTTATTTTTCAGAATTGTGAACGTCTCAACACTGTTACTGTTTCTGAAGAGTCAGAGAGCTTTCACATTTAATGTAAAATATATTTAATCTGTGTCCCAAAGATGAATAAAGGTCTCAAGAGATCGAAACGATGAGGGTGAGTAATTAATAACAGAATAAAATAACTATGTTTTTGGGAGAACTGTTTTAACGATTTAGCTTCACCTTGTATTCTGCAGAAAATTGTTGATCGTTGATATTTAAAAATGAATATTGCTGACATTTTTTCCTCATGAATCTCTTTCATTGGCAGATTTCTATGGCAAACCTCTCCCACCTGTAGCAATTCGGCAGAGGCCGAACAGCGATACTCATGATGTCATTTCCTAACACTACCTCTACTTCCCCAACCCCCCCTTCACTGGTTTACAGTTCTTAAGGTTCCCTGCCAATCAAAGTATTGTTTTGTTCTTATCTTCAAGCACGGGCAGTGTAGCAAGCTACGCAGATGTAATTGCCCATAAGAGAGGAACTGATACCCAATCTGCATTCCCAGATGGATCACAAGAACTCCAGCAACCAGTGACTGATAGTCAGCAGATGGACATGGACATTCACTTCATGACATGTTCAGAAAACATAGAATGGTTCAATATTTAGGATTTTGTTGAGCTGTTTGTTTTATCCAAATACTTTAAATCAGTATTAACAGACTTTTGAAATTAAGTATGTTTTTAATGCGTTGCAAAAATGCATTACAGACCTATTTTTTAAGATAACTGAAAAATATGTACATACAAAAAGTTTAAATTTGTGTACTTGAAATTGTTCTTCTGGTCCACATGCATACCTTATTATTCTGCGCATGTAATGTGCAATCGATTGTGACACAGTTTGCCTTTAAATGATCAGAAATGTTTCTTTTTTCTCTCTCAGCATATAGTTTCATACACTGTGCTGTCGTAATTTTGAGAATGACATTCATACTATCTAGTAGCACCAGCAACAGATACCGAGATCTTGATAAAGTGAACTTTTTGCATGAGATGTGAAACATTTTTCTACAAGCTCGTTATTGAGTTTTATTGTCACATTTGGTACATCATGCTGTATCAGGGAGGAAATGGTCATTGAACGATAATTTCATCAATTACTGATTTAAATATATTCCACTGTAGTTGTAACACGGCTCAACCTGTATTACGTATACTGTTGGACGCTGCTTTCAGATTGATTTTATGCTGTTACAGTTTTTTTTTTAATTGTTTCAGTTTGTTGATGTTTTGTATTATACACCACACACTAATGTTTAGTTGATGAAAATTCTGATGTCATCCATTTTGCTCTGCTTTAAGTACTTGCGCCTTTTGTACTCGGTTTACATTTAATCTAACTGTCAAATAAATAAATAAAAGATATTTTTACTCTGCCCTGTTCATTCTGACTTTGTCATTGCAAACCGTTTGACTATGCATAATAATACATTGTAGGCTATTTGTAATGTGCATTTCTTGCACCCAAGGCGCTACAACATTACAGAACAGAAAAAATGACTAGTTATCACTTATCAGTTAGTACATTTTAGCAGCGCCCTCTGTTGGTGGATTTATGCTAATAACAGACCAGAAACATGACTACTTTTTCTCCGAATTGCTATAAAAAGAAGTCTTTTCAACATTCTAAGATAGACTTCTCGAATGGCGATACAGTACATTCAGAAGTAATATCTGAGGTTTGGTAGTAAATATGGGCATGAGGAGAACAGTTATTTGCATGTTAGTTTTGAAGCAGAGATCACTGTAGAACAACCAAAGTCATCTCACACAACACAACTCTACTTCAAATAGCAGAAAAAAAAACTATTCTCACTAATAAACTAAATATTTAAGCAAATGGCAGTCTGCAATTTTCCAATCTAAAAAAAATGCTTGTAAAGTAGTCGCCCTCTGCTGGAGAAAACAAATTCCACTGATGCCGAAAAACATTCATTTATTTTCCTTCGGTTTAGTCCATCAGGTGTCGCCACAGCGGAATGAACCACCGATTTATCCTTCATATACACAGCGGCAACCTAGTACTGGAAACACCCATACACACTCATACGGCCAATTTAGTTTATTCAATTTATCTGTACCCCATGTCTATGGACTGTGTGAGAAACTGGAGCACCCGGAGGAGAACATGCACTCCTCAGAAATGTCAACTGCTCCAGCTGGGACTCGAACCCGCGACCATCTTGCTGTGAGATGACAGTACATTGAGCTACCATATCGCACATTTTAAAATCTTAGCATTTAAAGCACTTCAACTTTATGCCATGGAATATTAACATCACTGTTATAAGCTATAATTATGTAATTAAATTACTGTTATATTTAATAATAGGCCTAAGTGTTAAATATATAAATATTTAGTACTATTAAAAAAACAAAACAATTTCAACTACTACTACACTTTAATATCTGTTCACCTTTTATTCTGTCTTAATGCACCATTTTAGGCATACTTTCATTAAAGGGATTAAGAAACAATGAAATGAATAATAATTTGATGACACTGCACTCTTTACAATAGCTTTAAACTTAATTAAACAAACCTCGTCGAATTAAGTCCTTCAGGGTTGTTTGTAACTTGCAGTGTGTTGGAACTTAATTCTGCACACTAAAGACATTTTGTATAGTGTAGGCAGAAAACACTAGAAGTTAGTAGACTACTGGTTTTCTAGACAGAGAGAAAAATCCATAAGAGTTTAAAATTGAAACCAGAAGACATCCAATTATGAATGTTCTGGTGTACAGCCAGTGGCGCAACAAGGGGGTATGCAGTATATGCGGCGCATAGGGGCGCCACACATGGGGGGGCGCCGTTGTGCCAAAACTATTTTTAAAATTATCCTTATTAAAAGTTTCAAATAATAAAAATAAATAAATATGTTTTGTTAAAAAACATTATTTTGCATTTTAAACGAATATAATATTGTTATTGTTTAATTCAAAATCATTTAACACAATAACATGCAGTCCCACAGCCGAAAGTGTTCATGTAGATGTAACTGTTTAGATTTGTTTTTATTTTTATCAAAATAAACTGTCAAATCATACATAATGTCAAAAGTTATAAGATTAATCTGAAAATTTGTCTTCATTTATTATTAATTAATTAATATAAAATAAGAGGGATCACACAAAATTTGAACCCGCATACCCCTCAGTAAATGTGTAATTGCGCCCCTGTGTACAGCTACAGAGATAAAGAACAAAATCATATTTTTTTTCCTGACTGAATACTTGAATACTCTGAACAAAACATAGCAACACACAAAACTCGAAATGTCTTTATGTTTGGCTATTATATGTGTTAAACTGTTTTGCAGTTTCAGCTGATAAACATAGTGCCAGCAATCAGCTTAGCCTAAGTTGATTAAAAAAGCTTTAGAAAATGTAGTTATTCTGCGTTTACATTCATTGTTCAACTTTCCAACCCTGACTATTTTACCAAAAGGCTAATGTGCATCAGTTATTTTTTATTTAAATATATTCTGTATTTACTGGCTAAATGGCTATGGCTAAATGTGTAATATTTGTTTAGATTACATAATTAATTCGTAGTTTCTGAATACTTTCACTCTCACTCAACAGTTATTTAAATGTTACTTGCGATTAAAAACACATAAAAATAATTTTTTTTACAAATTATAAATTGTACTAAATAAAGGCCGTAAACCGACCATAATACCGATTGATACCGACCCTCAAACACAGAAAAACGGAACTAACATCACAACCCACATTTCCGGGGGAACTCAGTAAGAAGACGGACCGCGGAACAGTAGCTATGTAGTTAGAAATAAATTGCATCAATATCAATGTTTTCACCGAAATTATTCTGCATGTCAGGCAGTTCATTTCTCTTTCTGAAGTCTATTAAGTGTATTCTGTCCTCTTCATGTCATGGCCAAAACACAATCTCTAATACAGTAAGCGGACAAAACGTATTACATCTGTGATTTAAATACGACAAAACACATAACACTAACATAATACTACGATAACAACTGCAATTCAATATTTATAGAATTTTATATCAACTACGTATTTAGTAATCAGTAAATGATAATTTCTATATTACATTATATACATTTTAATACTTTTAATTAGTTTTAATATTTAATTGTTCTCCATTTCAGCAGCTTGCAGCACAATATATATCTAAACCCCAGAAGCAGCTTTGTGAGACTGTACTGAAGTATTTTGATAGACAGTACAGTGAAGAGCTTGGAGAGCAGTGGTGGAATGCAAGGTGGGTAATAGGATTTTTAATATCAATTAATGCTGTTAAAAGTTTTATGCTTATTTAAATAAATTATTGTATTTTGATGTCAAAATTTTCATGAGAACATTTAAATGTATTTGCATTTAAATGGTTACTATTGGTGGTTCATTTCATTGTGTCAATCTTTTGCAAATAAATGACTAAGCTGAAGGAAAATGAATAAAGGAAAGGTTATAATTCTGGCCACCCTTTTAACTAAGGCTTGCTATGATTTTACCTTGTAATCAATGTTACTGCCTCAGATTGTCTAAGTCAGGCATGTCAAACTCTCTCTTGGAGGGCCGGTGTCCTGCAAAGTTTAGTTCCAACCCCAATCAGACACACCTGGGCAAGCTAATCAAGCTCTTACTAGGCTTTCTAGAAACATCCTTGCAGGTGTCTTGAGGCAAGTTGAATTTAAAATCTGCAGGACACCGGCATTCAAGGACAGAGTTTAGACACCCCTGGTCTAAGTGACAATCTCATAACTAGTTTACAAATCAATATAAATATTGAATATTTTCAGGGATGTGCTTCTGAATCCACTCTCATGGCAATATGGCGTCCTGCTTAATCGGTTCAGTGACCTTACAAACCTCAAGCAGTGTCTTGCGGAGCTCGGATACACAAACCTTCTTCAACAGACACATCCTGAATCCCATTCCCAAACAGCAGACATCCCTCTGCAGTGTTTCATTCACCCAGATCCAGTGCGTATTCCCACACAAAGCCACCACACAGGCTGGCTGAAGCAGTACTACCTCCTGAATGCAGCCTCTCTTCTCCCTGTACTGGCTTTGAATGTGCAGGAAGGAGAAAATGTGCTTGATCTTTGTGCAGCTCCTGGAGGGAAAAGCCTGGCCATATTACAGACAGCCACTCCTGGTAAGTTGCACTTTTATAATTAATGGCAAGGCCATTATTTATGTGGCAAAATGATGTGTGACTGGAGCATATACCTAATGATACAACTGAGGTGGATTTTATATTCGCTCATTTTATCTTTTCTGAACATTTTTACCATGCTACTTTGAGTATTTAGTCTAAAATCATATGCAAGTATGATTTCAAAACAAAATTAGCAGTGTTTATTTGACTGAACAATGTTGTACTTGGCTGCTAATATGATTTTCCTATTTAGAGTCTGTGAGAATAATTATGTTATAATGAGAAAGTCAATTTATTTATTTATTTTTTCATATAAAATCAACTTTACATCAGTCATGATACACTTCATATTACTTGTGTAAAAAGTTTGGGGTTGGGGAGATATTCTGTTATTTTTGAAACATGTATCTTATGCTTATATCAACAATATTATGTTAAATCAACAATGCAATTATTTAATCAAAGATACAGTAAACATTGATACTTTGGAATATTATTTGACACAGCCATTATTTCAGTCTTTATGGCAACACAATCATGTAGAAAGTACTCTAATATGCTCTGTTGGTGGAAATCATATTTATTTATTCATTTATTTATTTTACTTTACAAATGATTCTTTAGCTTGTATAATAAGTCAGAAGCAACATTTATTTGAGAGGTTTATGATATACCATACATAAAAATAAAACTGTATGTTAGAGCTTTACTGAAAGGGGTGTTCAAAAGACTGTCATGACACCTTTATAATCATGATGTGACATGATTATGAAGAAGACCATATGCATGGTTATAACAACTGTTAAATGCAAATGTAAATGCAAATGTAACATTTGCAATGTCTTTTTTAATGAAAATTTGACAAACAAACAAATCATATCTTTTTTGTTATGATTACAACTAGACACAACATAACTTGTCATAAATTTGTCATAAACATGAGTCACAAGTAAGCAAGGGACAATAAACAGTTTCAAAGTTTACCGCGGTGTGAAAATGTTAGGTACGTTTTTTTTTTTTCTGTTTTTTTTTTTGTGTTGTCAAATACTATTTTATTTATTTTTTTCTATGGCAGCAGTATTAACAGCAGCAAAGGATCATCCACATCAAAAGCCACTGATCAGCCTAACATTTAAAAACTAATCACTCATGCACAAGAATTCAAACCTCCTGAACAGTGCAGTGGCTTTCTTTATATTCAATGAAAAAAAAAAGATGTCCGAAGATGCCTTTTCACTTTACTAAGAAATCTTTGTTTTTTTAATTAATGAAAATATTAGAAGTAAAAAATTAATTTTAATTATTTAGCCTGACATGTTTAATGTTCCAAAATATTATAAATGTTTCTTAGAATAAAAAAAGTTGCTGTTTTTTTACCCAGACATTTAAAAGACATTATTTTAGAGCAACAATCACAATACCCTAGAAATCATTATAGTTTTATCCAAGGTTATTATATTGTCAGAATCTCATACTGACCCATGCCTGGTCACAAGTTTGTTATAATTGTTGTGAATATTTTGCTGATCACTTTTTTTTTCAGTGAGATTTTTTCATTAATTTCTCATTAAATGTGTCAATACCCTGACAAATAATTTTACAACTTCAGCATTAATATTTAAAGAGATTTTATTTTAACCAAAACTGGATTACGTGTTAAATTTGATTTAAAAAATTATAATCATGTGAACCATTAAATAATGTTTGTTGTATGAAATATATGTCAAGGTAAATTTAGAAATCACTACTTTCTTTTTTTATTTGTATTTCCAATACTGTCCCAATCTTTTCTGATTTGGGGTTGTACATGTGATTTTTATTTTTTATTTATTTTTTAAAAAATTGGCAAATATTTTAAACAAATCTTTAACTTTGCCATTGTTTTTTTTTGTCATTTGTTTTGTAGACTTTTGAAGAAAATATTGAGGTTAATTTTTAAAGTCTGTAGCATAACAAAATATGGAAAAAGCGAAGCGGTGTGAATTTATTTTATTTTTTATATGGTTTAAATGGTGTCCATTCTGTGACTGACTAACTTGTATCTAACTTAAATTGTAATGGTCAGAATGGCTGTGTGCTGTATGTTGCATTGTATTATTATTTTTTTTTTCTGTGCCAACCTCAATGTTTTTTCTTTAATTGACAAAAATTATGTCTAATTTATTATTTCTCAATTGTTCTGAATTTAAAACATTGACATTGTGTTGTCTAAAAATGTCAGAAATCCCGGCATAATTTTTCTTATTTTGAGCAATTTGATGCTCTAAATGAGTCTATTGTTGTTGTTTTTTTTTCTAAGCAGAAAGTAATGACTAAATATATAATATGACATGCAAAAGACATAAACTAAAATGTCATGCAAAGTAACAATAGTTTACAAATCTTTGGTCAGAGGAATGTAGAATAGCTGTTTTTTGTCTTAAAAAAAGTGTCATTTATATTACAAATGTTGTTTTCTTGTAAGTCACTTGGGTTAAAATGTCTGATAATGAGTAAATGTATTTTATATATTTTTAAAGAATGTATTTTTTAGTCTCTGTTCTACAAACATGGCTTCTGTTTAAAGCATCACAATCATTTTTACCTGTGATGATGATGTAGCCTTAAAAAGTGCAAAAAGTGTATGTTTAGTTCTTAAATGTAATTAAAAATAATTACAAATATTAGAACAATATGTTTTTTCATCACATTTTTAACCCTTTAAATTTATAAAGATTTGTGCTGTACCATATGCTATAATTTTTGTGTGGGATTCCTAGGTCTCTTACACTGTAATGAAGTGGATCAGCACAGACATGATTGGCTACTGAAGACTCTTGAATCATATGTTCCTCCCTCACTCAGACATCTGCTTTCAGTGACTCTTCAGGATGGCCGTAGCATTGGGACCATGCAACCAGGAGCTTACGACAAGGTACATCACAGTAAAGTCTAGATCAGGGTTGCCCAAAATTATTCATATGAATGGCCGAAAACTAAATGTCATTGAGAGCCATGGGCCAAAGATAAATATCAAACTACAGTGTATTACATTAAAGTTGCCATGGCTAATTTTTTATTATGTTCAGACAGTTTCAAAATAAATAGAAAACCTTTCTTTAAATAGTATTAACTAATGCATTATAACCTGTTAAATAATAACTCATTGCAATAAAACAATCACATTTATAACAGTGGAGTTCAATGCTGAATACACTAGTCAAGCAGAATCTGCTTTTGCCTTGATTTGCTCACCTAAGTCTCTGGATTGTCAGGTGACTGTATGCACATTTAAACCAAACCTGATTAATTTATACCATTTAATCAAAACATTTAACTTCAGTCAGCTTTTAACAACGAAACAAACAAAAAAGGGCTTCATTACATTTTAATTGACAATCTCAAAACCATCCCAACCGTTCTCCCTCTCTTCTCAGATGGCATGGTGGGCCAAATCAAAGGTTACCATGGGCCAACTTTGGCCCCAGGGCCCTAGTTTGAACATCTCTGTTCTAGATGGAATTCAGCTGCACATACTCACATAAGTTTAGCATTTTTGTTAGTCTGTACAACACTAATAAAATGTACAATACATTTAAACAATACAGTTTAATGTGTAATTTATTAAATAACATGAATTATACTCTGAATATTCGCTCCACCATATCACCCCTGTACATCAGCAACATCACTGGGTTCCTGTTAAATCACGTATTGGTTTTAAGACCTTGATTTTAACATATTAAGCAGTGCATGGGCTAGCAACTGACTACATTTTTGACCTGGTTACTCTTGCCACTCCCATCAAGTCTTTGTTTTTCATCTGGACTTTTGGTCTTAGCCACATTGTTGACTAAAGACCATGGGTTGTAGAACTTTTTGTACTGTGCGCCTAAGCTATGGAATGGTCTACACATCAGCATTAGGAATGCCGCTTCTCTGGACTGTTTTAAGAAACTTTTCAAGACTCACATTTTTACCGTTGCTTTTAATTAGATTGATTATTTTTGTCAATTTAATTATTCAATTGTATTTTTTATATTTTACAGTGTTATTGTGTATTTTTTTATTTTTTTATTTTTTTTTACTTTCTTACTGTTTTGCTTGTATGCCTTGTAGCATTTTGGGCCTGAGAGAAGCTTAAAATGTGTTAATATTATTATTATTATTATTATTATTAATATTATTATTTATAATAACTGTTTTTACACTTCTATAGGCAGACTTTAATTAAATACAATTAATATATAATTTAATAAATAATTTCAATAATTCTCTTTATCTTCAGGCTGCAGCTGTATTCTTTCTAGCAACAACGATACAACACTCACCCCTAATGAGTACTCAATTTGCTTTTACAATGTAGATTGTGTCTAAGCAGCTTAACATAGAAGTTCTAGTAAATTGAAACTGTCGATCCAGTTTTCAGAGTTGAAGTTCAGTTTAGTTCAGTTCATTGTGGTTTAAATTTCACTGCTGGAAGTCCAAACACTGAAGAGCAAATCCATCAATGCGCAGCTCCACAAGTCCCAACCAAGCAAGCCAATAGCAGCGATGAGGAACTTAACGCTCATACAACAGAATAACTCATCTGTTATACCATTAAAATGATACAACCTTTAAGCCATCATTGGCTATTTTAGTCAGTGATATTTACCCTGAATGAATCATAAAATGACTTTTTGTAAAACACAACATTACCTAACATTTGTTCGATTCTGTTAAGTGCAGAAACTAAATGTACTCAACTAACCTCCACTGAATGTCATTTATCCAAGTGTTTAGAGAAAGTAAAACAGTTTGTTTGTGAATGTCAGAGTGACACTCTCACATGACATCAGTAGCAATGCTGCCTCCAAACTCGCATCATTTATCACAGTTGCCATAGCACTCAGTGCAAGCCCTTGCTTTCCATCTGAAAGCAACCAAAAAAAAGGCTGCAAGGTGGAATAGAGGTTTTCTGCACACTCAGTCATTTGAAGGGAAAGCTGCATAGGTACGCATTTTTTCCCACTCATCATGGGGTGACGAGACACTAGGCAGGTCACTATCAGCCCTCCAGGCCAAACATGCCAATCAAGCAGTGAATATGGCGCTTTTAAGGTTCCCAGATACTGCTGACTGAGTATTATCCTCTTCTGGCGGTGAGAGAAGCGTCGGGCCACTGAGCAGAAAGGTAAACGAATACACAATGCGACAGGAGGTGTCGTGATGGTTTTAAATGAATAGAGCTCAGGGTGGGTGCCGTGCTAGAAGAGGTTAACTTTTTTATTTTCAGCTCAGTCTCACTGGAAAAAAAAATAGCATGCCTATGGTGACATTCTGCAAAATGACTTTGTTATTTCCCGCTCATTTAAAAACTCTTTCATAGTGAAATTTCCAGTGGGTGGTGCTAAGAGCACACTCACTTTGAATTCAAGTTTCACATTGTCTTATTTACATTGGTTGAAATTCCTGAAAAAAAATTGCATTTGTTGAAAGGCCTGGGGTCTGTTCTTCGTACCTCGTTTAAATGATCCTGAATGATCTCTGGCTAATTTGTTTTTTTAAAAACAAGTTTGAGAAGATCTGGAAGGCCTAATCTGTGATCGCTGCATGTGTTGTACACTGTAAAATGTAATTAGTTGACCTTACTTAAAAAAAGTATGCAAACTCGTTGCCTCAAAAAAATTAAGCAAAGTAAACTTAAGATTAGTGAGTTAGAAAAGCTTGTTTTTTTAAGTGTGCAGTACTATATCAAGTAGTACCACTAACACGTTTTTTTTATGTTCATGTAACTTAATAGCCATGCTTAGTGTTAACTTAATTTTTTCATTTTGTGTTGATTGCTTGATATAAATTTAACCCCACTTAGAATTACTAAATACCTACAACTTAACACTATCAGTTCTGCTCACTCATTTTTTTAAATTCACTTAAATTAAAGAAACCAATTTCCTTTAATGGGTCCTTCTTGGACCCAAACCTGGGCAGCTGCAAAATGTGGCCTTTTCTCTTCCCCATTTATCTATTTTTGCTGTTACTATGTGATAAAGGCAAACACAACACAAACATATAATTTAAAAGAACACTCACGGGTTTGATTCAGCTCCATTACAAAATTTATTCAATGCACATTCAAGTACAAAACAGCAGCTAAACAACAAAGTTGTGGTTTGATTTAACTGTATAAAATGACATGGAAAAATATATAAAAAAATAAAATAAAAACATTTCTGTGAGCTAATTGTATGCATGTCTCCCAATATTAAACAGGTAACTACAGGACGACTTCAGTGCATGCAAAATCAGTGCATTTCTGATCAAAACCGAAAGTACAACATACTTTTGTGTCCCAAAGTGAGCAGTCCAAGGATTAAACCAAAACAAATAAAAACATCATTAAAAGTTTTCCCAAAACACAAATGTAAACAGGATAACCTTGCTAGGTTATTTTCTGACATTATCATCTAATAACATCTAACAACTCATTGCAACACAACATGGCACTATTTCCACCATTAGCATACCTGCATAACATGGTAGACTTTAATGGAATATTCTTTTTTTTTTTCCATTGAGAACGTAAATAAGCGAGAACAGTTCCATGAAAGCATCAAACTTTCTCTGATAAAAGGGAGAACATTAATGGCTGCAAAGCTTACAAAGTGCTATCTGACAGCCAACGGCTCTTTACTGTTCTAACCCAGAAGACTGTTCTTCAGGAGTTAACAGTTTTGGTGGGAGGTTTTTCTTTACCAGTCCAAGCATCACAGTCTGAATGAAGTTGAGTGTATTTGCCATGCATTTTGGGTATCCAAATGCAATGCATATGTAAGACGAAACAAAGGACAAACTGCCTGAGGCAAGTTTTTAACATGATCCATGAGAATACCTCCCTCCAGAATGATGGCAGTGGAGATGGGCTGGAGGTCCACTGAGCTTTGACCCTCGTGAGGACTACAGTGATGCATTCTAGGGCCTCGTCTCTCTCTGTATCCTAAAAGACACACATTCTTTAGCATTGCAATTTATGCTATTCTAAAACATTCTTTTTTTAGTGTTGTAATGTTATCAGAGAATATGGTTTTAAAAATGTTTTCACACTGGATTGTAACAATAAAGCAAACAAAATATATTTGTTATGGTTAAACTAAAGCTAAAAAGGTCTATACATCCTCAAAGAGTGACACTGACTTTTCAACCTACAAAATACATCAATCACTGTACAAAATGTATATTGTATATTGAGCAGATAGAATTACATCTATGTCAACGCAGGTATAGTTTTATGTTCATGCAGACTGTAGGATTACAAATTTAAGAATATGTTTAAGATCTATGGAAGACATTTTCTGCCAAATTTAAGTAATTAAATGACTAAAATGAAAATTAAAACCAGATTAACGATTTCATTAGAGAAAACTGTATGCAAAATGTGTGACAAAATTGACAATGAAATGATTTCATTCTCATGGTGACAGTGCATCATCCCTGTCAAATTGAAAAATATAATGCAATTGGTGATTTCACATTTCATTTTCACTACAGTCTCGAGGCAAGACAGCCAATATTAAAATGAAAAGCCAAACGTGAAAAAGAAACTACAAATAGTTTTACAAAAGCTCTTTATTAACGCTCACGCAATAATAGTGACAACTCAAATTAAAATTGTAAATTTTAGTTTTCATTTTGATTCCTCTTTTATTTTGGTAATGTGTGTGTGTGTGTGTGTGTCTCTGAGTCTGTGTTTGAACCTGTGAGTGAGTCTTTTTGAATGTGTGAGTGTGTGTGAGCCTGTGTTTAAGTGTGTGTGTGTGTGTGTTTGTCTCAGTCTGTGTTTGAGTGTGTTTGAGTGTGTGTGAGTGTGTGTCTGTGTTTGAATCTGTGTGTGTGAGTCTTTTTGAATGTGTGAGTGTGTGTGAGCGTGTCAGTAAGTTTGTGTGTGTGTGTGTGTGTGTGTGTGGTGTGTGTCCACCTCCAGGTTGGTGGGTGTGTGTGTGTGTGTGTGTGTGTGTGTGTGTGTGTGTGTGTGTGTAAAATTTGCAACAAGAAATCTGTGGAGCAGTCATAGAAACTGTAGCAATAGCAATGTCTTTAAGTTATCTTACACTAAGTGTTGGCAATGGAAATGTGTACTTGTCAATAAAATTATATGATATATTTAACCCTTTTGTTGTGCCTTGATCAGACTTGACTGCAGCAGCTCATGTTCTCAATAAAGTACCCTGCTGAAGTACCCTACCCTCCTTGTCTTCAATTCTAAGTGTTCTACAAGACCAAACTTTTTCTTATGTGCAAGTACTTACAGAGCAGGTCTTGTAGAATTCACTGGAGTCATCACCGAGTAAAATGGGAATGCCTTTGAGGACAACAGAGCGAAGTACTGTGTCGTCTGGTGTCTAATGATACATAGAGAGAGAAAAGACCAGTTAACAGAGTAATTTGCAAGGCACAAGCAGACAGGAAATAAAATAGGTTGGTCTGGATGGTCTCATTTAGAACTTGATTGATGAACTATCACACAGATCAAAAGCAAAATAAACCTACTTACCATCCAGCTCATGTGCTGCATCAGCTCCCTGAGTTTCTGGCCAACAGTTCCCTATTTTGTTTTGAAAAGTTCAATGAAACGTGGGGCATACTGGTCCAAAGCCTCAAAGAAGTCTCCCTCAAGATTCTTACTGGCGATTCTATTAAACTCAGCAAACACCTGAAAAAGTAGAGAGGAGTGGGTAGGGATGGAGAGGTGGCAGAGGGATTAACATTCCAACAAGTGTTTGGATTTCTAGTCACACACCTTGAATTTATGTTTATTTGCATTATTTTATTGGTTGAGAACAAAAATTGCTTACCTGTCTCTCTATGATATGTGCTAATTGGGTATGTCAAAGAACTCTGGCCACTGTTGTCTTAGCGATGGTGATGCTCCTACAGGCGACAGGATCTCAGTGTCTGCTGTGCTGCCCTCAGTGTCTAATGTTGTGGTGGGTGATGACAATGCTGTTAAATGGAGAGTCACAAGAGGGATGATTTTGACTGTAGCTTTTTCAGGTAAATCAGTTATTTCAGTCAAATTGCAGAGGGCATTATTGGAGTCTTGATCTTCATACTGCAGTTTAAAGTCATACTGGAGTGACAGTTTATCCACCAGTTGCACTTTGAATTCTTCAATGGACTGTGGTCTCTTAATTAAAGTCAACTTACTTATATCATCTTCAGCGATGATGACTCTCAGTAACAACCTCTGGTCCATTTTGATAACTGTTTGAAAATCTGAAAAGAAAGAAAAGATAATTTTAGCATCAAGCCTAGCAACATAAAAAGACAAAAACACTCAAATGCAGTATCAGATTTGAAATACCAGAGCTATAGGAAAAACTAAATCCTTGCAAAAATCTAATTATCAAGCTTTTAATCAATGAACTTCTTTAAGACAAGTGAATACAGCAGTACAAAAAGTAAATGGTAAATGACTCGCTTATGTGGTTAGACATCAAGGGAACTGTTGTCCTGGGTATGATGGACTATAAATCGAACCCACAGTATCTATAGAGACAGTCCAGAAATACTAATTACATCAAATATTTGAAATTCAAAATATGCATAAAATATTCTGTATGATGAAATATACTATAATGAAATTATTTCAACACAAGATTTTCTTAGCTTTTGTTGTAATCCAATTGCTCTGATGTAAGCATAACTTTTACTTTAGCATGCAATAATAATACAGTTATTAGTTAAAAATACCTTTTATTGCTGGGATTATGGAATGTGTGGATTGATCACCATATGCTTGTGCCTGGAAGGAAACTGTTAAATAAAAATACAACAATTTAGCACAACCAAGTACATGTGAAAGCTGTAACATAGGCCTATAACCCACAATGACAGCTCCCAGTATTAAAATGAACATATTATGTACAAAATGACCTTAAAGAATAATGTAAGGCACTGAGTATGCCAGCAAATATGTTCCCTATCATAGCAGACTATGATAAACTGAGTGTAAAGATCTTTTCAGACAGGTAAACACTCTTGTCTGTAGCGAACCAAGACTGATCTGGGTAGTGGGCACTATGGTAAACATGGAAACAGCACAGCTACGAATATTGACTATGAAGTGCGACGTGTTAAATAAAATAACATTAAGTTAGTTGACTGTGGTGATATCCCCAATCATATGTCGACACAGAGTGGTAACGTTAATCCTGTTTTTGATAAGCACAGACTGTTATTGTTGGTAGCTAAAATTAGCATAGTCTTTACAGACAATTTTAAAATAAAATTATACATCCAGACTTGTTCTGATGTTCTGCCTGAGCTTACAAACAACAGTTATAAAACTCAGGAAACTCCCAAACCGCCGGGATCAGTCTGTCATCATCATGCTAGCTGCTAGTCAGTACTCGATGACAAATGTTACTGACATATGCTGACATGGCAGGTGGGCTCGAGCGACAGTTAACGTACTGCTACACTAAAGTTTTTCCTCAATTTTAACGTGACAAAAGTCTTGAAAATAATAAAGTATTGACCAAGTTTCATCAAAATATAGTCACGTTATGTCCATAATAAAGTTAGCTAGCGTAAGCCGACATTACTACACACATCATTACTAGCAGGCACAAAACACTGGCGCTGACACAGAAACAAAATGATCTGCGCAAGGGTAAATTAAAATATTTACTCACCAAATGAGTGTGCCAAGCACAAGAATCGCTGTTATGCTGACGATAATCACAAGTGCCGTTGAAGCGATGTTTAGGTCCAGCTCAATGATATCCAGCTTCATCTACCGTTTGCAAAATTACGAATCCCGCCACGCCAAGACCCGCCTTACGAAGCAGCTTGATTGGTTGGGGATGATTGATTGATCTGCGCATGCCCACAGTGTCATAAACTTACTTTTTCTAAATTAATCCAGCTCAAGCAGACTGAGCTGGTAAGATTTTTCAACCTCAAAGTACAAGTAACTTACTAAAAGTGAGTGTTAATAGCAGGTTGATAAAAATTGATTAAGGTCAATTTAATATTTTTAATTAAATACCATGTTTGCTTTTACAGTGTAAAGGACAGATTTATGAATCCTCATAATCCTCATAAAATCATGATCAGCAATGCAACGATTGGCTGACAGCACGGCAGCGTAATGACATCATCTAATTAATATTTAATTCTCCATGTGAGCAAAATTACTAAAACTTTGTAGTAAAGGGTTTGTTATACATGATACGCAATAACGCTACTCCTTTGTTGTGGGCTGCAGGCTTTACACTTTCATGTGTCAAGAATATTTAGCAATTTATTTAGTTTCACATTTAGAGCGGATTTTCTTTATTATAGTAGCCTAGGTCTATTCAAGTTTCTTAATTGGCGTGAGGAATAACTGTCTGTTTAAATAAATTTTGCATCAAAAAGCAATTTGATATCGGTAAAGGTGTCTGCGTCTTTTGCGAAGAATCAAATCACCATCATATTAGCTATCAAAACCCATGCATGACTGCGTAAATTATTATTACTTTTTAAAAAAAAGTAGAATATTGTGCATGTCTATTATCTTACACAAATTGTCCTAAAGCTGGTACCTTAAAATAGGATGTGTTTGTGCCTAAAAAGTGCATTTTAATAAGTGTTCTCTTTGACCATCTTAAGGAGAACCACCCCAAGACTTTTTTATGCAGAATTGTTTTATTTATATATTTTTTAAACTTAGTAATAAGTATTACCTTTGCTTGAAAAGACCCAATCTAATCCTGTTTGTATGAAATGAGCCTGCTCCCTAGAAGGTTTGAGCTACCAGAACTGTTACTATAACAACAACTCTCGGAACAGTTTTGAAGAACGAAATGATCCTAATTCGTGTCAAATCGTAAATTATCAAATCCAGCTAATTGAGTAATCCATGTACGAAGAATGGACCCCTGTTGCACAAAATAAGTGAAACAAACTTCAGTTTGCAGAATTAGTTTCAACTTGACAATACCAAAGAAATGCAAACTGGCTAAGATCAGGATAAGAGGTTTCACAACGCTTGACACAAACATTCACTGGGTTTAAGCATGGGTTAGTAATTACCTCTGGAGTGTGTGTGCTTAAAAGTGTGACATGTGCATCAAATAGCCATCATATGAGACACATGAGAGTCAGTTTGATACTTCTCTCTTAAAGATACAGAGATTTAGCATTATCAAAAAAAAAAAGATAAAAAAAAAATAAAAAAATGAATTTAAGCACAATTATAAAGCCATAATAAACACTTCTTACTCAGTAAAATAATTTTAGATGGCAACTTAAAGAAAATATTATTATACCAATGCAAATCAATCCTTTATTTTAATAATGTAAATTTATAAACAGCATAAAATACTGCCATTTTAAATGATATATTAATGTTAATTTATATGTTAATATTTCATTGTAAATGTTAATTTAAGGGCATTATTATATATTAAATGAAAAGGATGAAATATAAAGAATACAAATTTATATAATAGAAGCACAATATTAGTAACAGAAAAAAAAATTGTCTCAAATAATTTGTCTGTCATGCAAAAGTCTTTAATTTAGAGCAAAGGAGATGCTCTGGGACTGGGAGTGGCTTTGTTGCTTCAGATATATGGCTGATTGGTCCAATTTGGTTTTGCGACACTCTAACTCAAAATAATATGTGCTCCAAAGCAGGTTAGCCATATAGTGTGTTATAGCGACGACAAAACCCGTTTAAAAACAAACCATCTTCTTGAACCCGAAAACTCAGATGGGGGAGTATGGCTTGCTAATGAACATCTCTCAAGAGGTTCTTGTAAGTGCATCTGTCTCCCATGTTGGTGAGAGCAGTTTAAATCCAACTTGGAACAGTGTGTGTAGAACCTGAGGAGTTACATTGGCTTTAGTGGGGTGATTGCAAAAGCTAGTAAGAGCTTTGCAGGTAAACCTTATTCCTTTGAGTTTAAAAGCAGACTTGTTAGCTAGAGACAACGATTTAAAATCACTTGATGTGACAAGTAGGACTGGAGGGGTTACACTGGTGGCATGATCCAAATTGTGAGATTTTTGCTGCTTTTTTACTGCATGGTATCACTCGGTGTGATTTGGCTTATCTCTCTTTGCTTTTCCACTGCAGAATATTGCCACTTGAAGTGGGTGGGATGTAGACATATGAAAAAATTGTGCTGTCTACTTACATGTTCTGGGTGAACCCATCCAGCTCTTGGCTGTCCATTTATGATTGTTTTCATGATTGTACATTCACATATGGTTTCTTGTGCAAATGAATGAATGTCACACTGTTGATAGTGTATAACTTTGTATTTTCTGTTTATTTGAAACATTTGTAGGAGCATTTATTTCATGTTTTGCCCCACTTTATCTAATGTATGTGTATTTTTGTACAAACTATCTATTAGGTTGTGTAATGCTAGCAGTTAAATGCCGCAAAACTTTTCTTCTCACCTCTCACACTTCATCACACCTAGTCAGATTATAAATACTCTGATCATTTATTCTGACCTTATCTAATGACCACATTACATGTATATTTATTTGTAAGCAACAGTGATTTAAAATAATTCTACATTGGCTGTGGCTGACTATTTATTTCTAGTGGCTTTGTGTCTCTTGCAGCAAATCCAGTGATGCAGGTAGGGACAATTCTCTTTGGTAAATCAGTGATCCACAGTAATCAGTATACCATATTTTAGTAATACTATGGCTCACCACCCCATGCAGTGGAAATGCCATTAGCAAGGTGAGTGTAGGTGAATTTCATCCCCCTGGCTTCAAGAGGTACACTAGTGGCTGAAGCAATGCAAAAGTCTGTTGGACGTTGCTGCGAAAATGTGCTGGATAAAACAAGTTGATGTGATACTGATAAAACAAGTGACTACTCCATATTTTACATTTCTGCACAGAGAGGTCACATTTTGATATTCTATAGGTCTCACACATTCACATGATGCAAATTCGCAGATCAGAGTTCACCAAGTTTGAACTTTGAAAAGCAAGCTTGAAACTTATTGCACAGGCTTGTGCTCGCATTCGCATACCTATGATAGATAGTCAATTTCATTAAAAACTGCAGTGTGATCGTAGCTTGATACTAGAATTTAGATAAGCACATTTAAAAATGGCCACAGGCTGACAAAAGTGCTGTAGGTTTTTAGGTTAATCACAATAATAACAGCAAAACAGATAAAATATGAAATTCATTATAACCTAAAAGCAACAGAGAATAATAAAGACAAGAATTGAACTCTGACAAAGTAAAAGCTGATCTAACATAGAGAGTTTGTTCCACAGTGTTGGCCTGGAAACTTCAAAGGCTTGATTTCACCTCGATTTTAGCTGAGATTTGTGTATTTGTAGGAGGAGTTTAGCTTAAAATCTTAGATGTCTGGTAATAGAATATGGGTGGAGCAAATCAGACAAATAGGGCGCAGCTGGATGATTTGGTAATTTGTAAACCAGTAATAATCAGAATCAGATAGAGCTTTATTGCCAGGTATGTTTGCACATACGATGAATTTGTTTTCATGACAGTGCTTCTGTCATTGCAATAGAATTATACAGACAGGGCCAAAAAAAACAAACAAACTAATAATTATATAAAAAAGCAGTAAGTAGTAAATACAAATAGACAAGGGTATGTAGAGCTATATTACTATATACAATGTTATATGTGCAGCTTTTAGTACAAATTGGCATGTAAAGTGTGTTGTTAAATAAGTGTATATGTGTATAAAAGTGTAAGGCAAGTAGTGATGTTGGTTCCACAATTATTATCATCTTGTGTTCATGAGACGGATTGCCTGATGGATGGATTGCCTGATGGATTGCCTAATAAAGTTTTAAACTCAATTATAAAATTGATAGGATGCCAATGAAGAGATGGGGTATATGACCAGACTGCTTACTTTACATCAGGAATTTTGCTAAAGAGTTTTGTATGACCAGTAGTCGAGCCATTTGGGACTTTGGTATAAGGAGTTACAATAATATAGGCATGAGATAATGAGGTGAATATTTTTTTTTTTTTTTTGTAGTAGGAGGCATTCCTGGAACATCATTCCTGTTCAAAAATATAATCTATACTTAATTCTTACCCCTTAACACAGTGTTTCTCAACCACGTTCCAGTTTCAGTCTCTGCAAGTGAACTGATGATTTGAATCAGGTGTGTTTGGTTAAGGAGACATGGAAAATGTGCAAAGCTGGTTGTCCTCAAGGAACATGGTTGAGAAACATTGCTTTAACCCAATCTTAACTGTAAATCTTTCCCAAAATCAGAGGGGATTAAGAGTTGGATAAAATGATGTGTGTGTTTGTGTGTGTGTGTATATATATATATATATATATATATATATATATATATATATATATATATATATATATATATATATATATATATTTATATATATATATATGTATGTATGTATTTATTTTTTTGTATTAAACTCTTCTTTTGCACAAGAGTCCATCTTTTGACAGTATAAATAACTGTAACTGTAAGGGCCATGAAACCGTAGAAACTCAGAAGATTGATTTCACACCTCTAGTTTTAAAAAAGTCAGGAAAGCGGGTGAGTCCAGCTTTGTTTAGGTGAGAGTGTCGAGTGGCGAAAGAGAGAAGGGTTTGCATGAAAGGGGAGTTTCATTGCGTGCACTCGCCGATTTTCACGGAGGCAACACAAATACAAAAACGGGAGATAGACAGTGACTAAGTTTACATGGACATCAGTAATCAAATGGTTTGCCTTAATCTGAATAAGACAATAATATGGTTAAGGTGTTTACATGAGTTGCTTCATGAATGTTTCTTTCATGATCCCACTTTACATGTTATAGCACATACAGTTGAAGTCAGAATTATTAGCCCCCCTTTGATTTTTTTTTTGTTTTTTTTTTATATTTCACAAATGATGTTTAACAGAGCTAAAAATAAAAATCAGCATGTCTGATAATATAAATATATATTTTATTTTGGAGAAAGTCTTATTTGTTTTATTTCGGCTAGAATAAAAGCAGTTATTCTTTCTTTTTTTTAAAACCATTTTTAAGGACAAAAT